TGTGTGTATGTCAGTGAGTCTCTGTGTGTACGTGTGTGTGTATACCTTAGTGTGTCTGGGTGTGGATGTGTGTGGGTGCGTGTGGCTGTGTGTGTGCGTGTGTGTGTGCGTGTGTGTGTTTTGGGGTGGAGTGGGGTTGGGGGAGGGGGGGGGTAAAGAGGTTTAAAGAGCTCTTGGGGCTTTACCATAAACCCCTGACTAACCCATCCCTCTGGTTCAGGCCGGTACAGCTGATCACGCTATAATGTCAACGTTGCTAAAAATCCATGGTCCACATTCTCAGTTTACCTTTCCCGTTTTCTCATCGTAGTGAGCCCTAACGTGACTGGGTAAAGGGTTTCTGATAGCCTCAACAAAATCGGAGCGATCGGCGCTTCAAACTCCTTAGATTTTGTGTGAGTGCAAAAAGACTATTATGTTATAGTGTTTAACTATAGGTGAACTGGTTAGAAAGATATAAGGCAGTGGTGAACAGGTGTGTGTGGCGAATATACACTCTTACGTGAACGCAGGCTTTGTAAGGGTTGAGGTCGTAATGGACTATCCCCAACAAACCCCCTGCCGACGGTCATCGACAAAATATATGGTCCCAAAATAATCGAAACCCAGCTACTCAAACCAAAGAAATGAAGGGAAAAGTGTGTGCATTTTTTCAAACTGATTGGTAGTCAGTATGTGTTAACTTCAGTGAGCGATTATAATATGTACTGAAGTTGTAGTTTCCTTTTATTGTTTCTCAACGTGACTTCTTTCTGATATCGTTAACTTGTGGTTATCGGCATACCTTTTTGAAGTCAGTTATATAAAGCAAAATCACAGAATACGAGGTCTTCTTTTGAGAAGCATAACAAGTTATATTTAAGAAGGTCTATCTCCTGCTGCTGGATACAAATATACCATCAAAATAGACAACTACGTCATTAGATCTATAAGTCAAAAGGGGATCGCAGCAAGAAAAAGGGCAAATAGAACCATATCTCAAAAGGAAATAGAAATTACAACAAGGATCGTGATGTTCAGCCCCTTCAGATGCCTAAAAAAGACTTCAGTTCGAAGATGTTATCCCAGTAGTTAGTGTAATCAATATTCACCTGAGGAGGCTGCTAGACCAGGGGGTATCACGAAAGACTCCGGTGTGGCCACCCCCGATCGACCGTTGCTATTTAATTAAATAAAATATAATACAATATCGTATTATACAGGTATAGTGCGTGTCTACCAGGAAAAAGTTCAGTTTGCTTTACAATAGCATAAAGAAAATAATATAGTTCCAGTTATGATCCTTTCACGCCCACCTCTTTTTTCCTCTCTCATTCACCCACTTTCTCTCTCTCTCTCTTTCTCTCTCTCTCTCTCTCTGTCTCTCTCCCCCCCTCTCTCTCTCTCTCTCTCTCTCTTCTCTCTCTCTCTCTCTCTCTCTCTCTCTCTCTCTCTCTCTCTCTTCCTCATAATCTCTATATATCTGTCTATCTATTCTATTATCTCTTGCCCTCTCTCTCTCTCTCTCTTTCTCTTCCTCCACCCTAACGTCTCTCTCTCTCTCTCTCTCTCTCTCTCTCTCTCTCTCTCTCTCTCTCTCTCTCTCTCTCTCCCTCTTTCCGGAACAGTTTCTTACTGTTTTAACCCAAAATTGAGGTCATACCAAACCAAAACATCATTGTTGCTGTTGCTCGTGGAATGTGTGTCGCTCTGTTAGACTATACCCACATCAAACGTCACTTCAGGGTATGGAGCCTTTTGTGTGTATCTTGCCTGATAATAAGCTGGCTCTGGGGTTAAAGTATGCTTTTTCAAATGATCTCTTCAATTCTAAGGTTCAGTTACCATGTTTTTAATGTTTTGGGAAGAAAAGAGAAAAGTGCTTGCAAAGTAATTTTTTTTCGTCGAGTTTTGTCATTATATTATTTTTCCTTTTTTATTTCTTCAAACAACCCCAATATTCATAACTTTTGTCATTGGTGGCAAACAGAAGACAACTGGGTATTCCTCCTTCTTCCTTTTGTTATCTTGAGATGCGCCCTCATTTCCAACAAAAATGAATGGCAGGGTTGATGTAACACGAAACCACCATTATGGGATTCGAAGAATTTGGGCTACTAATAGAAAACTGCGACCTAATTCGTGACGGCAATGAAAACGACAGCTTTATCCAAACCTGGGGACTATCTGGCCTCTTTTTGTTTCTCTTTTAGGGCTAGAGAAGGGGAATCGGACACGCGTCTGTCCGGCCGGGTGTTCGCCTCTGTGTCCACTTGACCCCGGACCGTTGCTCGTGTGACCCCTGTCCTAAATTTATGAGGATAAGGTGGCGGTTCTATTATATGTCTCTGGTCTTTGGGTCGGGTAGTTCTGTTGAGATGTGGAGAAAGAAGACTATTGTCCCACAAGTTGCAAACAATAACCCTTTTCCCCATCCGCACGCACCCTTCCGTTCTCGGCCTCCAGCGACAACAGGCTATAGAATGAGAACTCGTTGAGGTGCCTCCGTGTGTGTGTGCGTGTATCCTTTTGAATCCAGATCCACCCCCTCCCTCCCCCCCACCTCCCCCAACCTCTCATCATCTGTTCCCAGTTTTAGGGGAAAAAACCAAGGGAACGTGTGACAGCTGGAATATGTCATTGTTCCAGTGGATTGGATGGTTGCTTCCTCGGTTGGTTGTCCTGCTTGCACCTGGGCCGACATAATGATCTGTGTCGCATACGGGCTAGCATGAGGGGAATGGTGTATCCCTCTCGGATATTTTGGGTTTTCTTTTTATGACTTATGTCTATCTGACCGTTATTTTTGACACAGCACATGGTGCAGCGACATTTCGGGAGAAACTTTCGTCGTTGCCGTTCGCTTTCCGCGAGTAATCCAAAATCCCTAATTTAAGTTTTTACCGTGTTTGAACTAAAAGATCCCTTCTATGTAGATCTATGTTCTATTTTATTTGGGAAGTATTTATGACCAGTGAAAGTCATGATT